AGTTCAGCTGTTTATTATACACGTGACTTTCATTTCAGCTATATACGTGTGGCTCTCTGTTCAGATGTATACGATACAGGTGCCTTTCATTTTGGCTGTGTATGGCACACGTCCCTCTCAGTTCAGCTGTTTATGATACACATGCCTCTCATTTCAGATTTATATGATACAGGTGCCTCTGAGTTCAGCTGTATACGATACACGTGCCTCTCTGTTCAGCTGTATAGGGTACAGGTGACTCTCCGTTTAGCTGTATACATTACAGGTGCCTCTCCATTCAGCTGTACACGATACTCTTGCCTCTGATTCAGCTGTATAGGATACACGTGACTCTCAGTTAAGCTGTATAGGATACAGGTGCCTCTAAGTTCAGCTGTATAGGATACACGTGACTTTCAGTTCAGCTGTATTCGATACACATGGTCTCAGTTCAGCTGTTTATGATCCATGTGCCTGTCAGTTCAGCTGTATAGGATACACGGGCCTCTCAGTTCAGCTGTATAGGATACACGGGCCTCTCAGTTCAGCTGTATACAATACATGTGCTCTAAGTTCAGCTGTTTATGATACATGTGCCTCTCTGTTCAGCTGTATATAATACACGTGCTCGCAGTTCAGCTGTATACGATAAATGTGTCTCTCTGTTCAGTTGTATACGATACACCTGCCTCTCACTTCAGCTGTAAAGGAAACACGTGACTCTCATTTCAGCTGTATAAGATACTCATGCCTCTCAGTTCAGCTGTATATAATACACATGCTCTAAGTTCAGCTGTTTATGATACACGTGCCTCTCACTTCAGCTGTATACTATACACGTGGCTCTCTGTTCAGCTCTATAGGATACACGTGCCTCTCATTTTAGCTGTATATGTTACACGTGTCTCTCAGTTCAGCTGTAAAAGGTACAGGTGCCTCTCAATTCAGCTGTATATAATACACATAGTCTAAGTTCAGCTGTTTATGATACACGTGCCTCTCAGTTCAGCTGTATAAGATACACATGCCTCTCAGTTCAGCTGTACATAATACACGTGCTCTCTGTTCAGCTGTTTATGATACACGTGCCTCTCAGTTCAGCTGTATAGGATACACATGACTCTCAGTTCATCTGTATATAATACACATGCCTCTCATTTTAGCTGTATATGTTACATGTGTCTCTCAGTTCAGCTGTAAAAGCTACACGTACCTCTCAATTCAGCTGTATATAATACACTTACTCTAAGTTCAGCTGTTTATGATACACGTGCCTCTCATTTCAGATTTATATGATACACGTGCCTCTGAGTTCAGCTG